TTTTTAATATTTTTTCAAGAAATTCTCGGTGCCAGCATTCTCCACAGCATACTTCCTGACTTCTCTAGGCCACACTGACTTAAACGCCTTTCTGAATTCTCTTTCACATGTTGTCCAAATGACATAATCTTGCACATAATTTCTTTGGTATTATTTTATATACATCCTCAATTAATCTAAATTTTTTGAGGACTGAGAGAAGATTTTAATAATTAGAAAATCTCTCAGAGGATGGCCAACAGATTCACTGCAAACATGGCACTTGAAATTTTCATATATGAATAGGTGACTTCTGAAGAAATGTGGCTGCATAGGTTAGATAATGCCTTTTCTGCTGAAAACAACACAAAAACAAAAAGGAGAATGAGAAAAAAAGACATCTACTTCTGTCAATACCAGATCCCAAAACATTATTAACAGCTGCTAAAATTAGCTAAGATTGGGCAGAAGCCACAGAAAAGGGTTTAAAAGCAGAACACAGGAGTTCAGAAAGCTTAAGCAAAAGCACATTTCCTGAAGATGAAGGACTCACCTGAAGTTGAAATGCTATGCCTCTTCTTTATGCCAGTAGAAATCAAGCCCAGAATGAGCAGAGCCAGGAGAAAATGTTCTCCTAAACCTTGTTTAGTTCAGGGGTACTGCAGAGATGGGCCGTACTAACTCACCAAGATAAACCACAGTGGCTGGAGGCATCTATTCTGGCAGAGCTATTTCAGCACCATGACACCTATTCTCTCACCTGATGCTTCTTCCCCAATAATCTTCAGGAGGGCCCAAGGGGAAGGTGGGTCTGAAGCATCTGTTAGGAAGTTATCATTACTTGAACAATGAACACTGACTGTCAGCCACAAATCAGGTACCTCACTGAACCTTCTTGTAAAAGGCCTGGAAGGACTTGGTGAAAGATTTCCTCTTGAAAACCAAAGCAGTGTGAAATTATCAACTCCTATAACAATTATCATTACTCGTATTTTACTATAATATTTCATTTTTATTAAAATTATTTAAGTATATATTTTTCTTAAATCATGAGGAAAAGGAATTATTATATTTTGAAAGTCTACTATAGTCAAAATACTTTCATATGTCTCATTTAGTTTTCATTTAAATTAGTCTATATTATGATAAAAAATGTATAGGCAAGTTCTACTTATAAAAATTCTAATCTCAATGTGATTTTAATTTGCATTCCTCTAATGACCAGTGATGATGAGCTCTTTTTCATATGTTTGTCAGCTGCATAAATGTCTCCTTTTGAGAAGTGTCTGTTCATACCCTTCACCCACTTTTTGAAGGGGTCGTTTTTTTTCTGTAAATTTGCTTAAGTTCTTTGTAGATTCTGGATATTAGCCCTTTGTCAGATGAGTAGACTGCAAAAATTTTCTCCCATCCTGTGGGTTACCTGCTCACTCTGATGATAGTTTCTTTCAATGTGCAGAAGATTTTTAGTTTAATTAGCCAACCACGTGACACGTGTATATCTATGTAACAAATCTGCATGTTCTGCACATGTACCCCACAACTTCAAGTACAATGAAAAAAATTCTAATCAAGTGCTAATGCCAAGAATTGAACCTGTGGCTTCTGCTCCTGAAATGCTTTATTAACCATACTTTTATTTTTTCTTCTAAACAGTGTTACTTGGTAGAGGTAAGGAAAGTTTAATAACATAATATTTAATGAAAACACAGACATTATTTAAAAATTACACTATCATGTTATCTACCACCGAGAAAGAATATGTACTGCCAGTTAACCTGTGATATGGAGAGTTTGCATGTCAATGATAGAAAGCACCTGATTATCAGTGATGTTAAATGCTACCACACATCTATCACAGATGCTAAAATGTAAAACAAGGATTGGGAGTGATGAAAATTTGATATGGTTAAGCTAAGAGAAAACTCAAACTTGAAAAATAAATTCCACAATTTTATAAGTGTTATAAATGATTGGACTTGAAATAAATTTGATTTGTAAAAACGTTGTGATTCATTAGTCTAGTCTTTTGTTAATAACCACTCAAAGGATAGTTTATTGCTGGTTGCTAATATACAGTGTGACTCAATTTTGGTTAACACTTGAAAGTGGTTGCGTCATTTTTATTTTGTATGATAAGAATGAAATAAAAGTTAAACATAATTCTCTTATCAATTACACATTTCCAGATATGAGAGGGTTCTTAATGCTAAATTCTGATTGTCAATGTATTTTGAACATTTTTGGTTCTTGACTCTTCACTCAATCACCTACTAGTAAGTTTCTTTTTGTTTACTAAGTTAACTTGACATACTTTTACTTACTGTTTTCCAAAAATAATCAATAAAACACTTATGCTTGAGTCAATAGTATCTTTGTTAAAATAGCAACTACTAGAATATATATTTCTGCCATGAGAGTGAGTATACTTTACTCAAGTTTTCATGATAAATTCAAGAGACATCTACTGAGGAAAATCAGAAGTTTCCATTTTCATAATTTGTTAAATTATCTATGAATTATCTCATAAAGTAGGAAAATAATTAGTGAATTAGTCTTGATTTTTTTGTTCTAACATTAAATGTATATGTCATTTTGCAATTGATATTGCCCAAAAACCCTGCCTTTTTCTTTCAAAGAGCATTTATGCTTATCTCATGGTATGGAAAATGCAATGTTTAAAAACCGTGTAGGTTTCTTTGATAATAGCCATACATTAATTTCTGAGGAACAAGAATTTTTAATCACTTTCTTCTTCATCTGACATCACCTCTCTAAAAAGAATCACAGAGAGTTTTATCTCTTTCTTGTATTTACAATTATATTTAAATAAACTTTTAGCATTATTTGCTGTTAAGGTGTTTTAAGCATAAAAAATGCAGACCTTAATATGTAGAATATATGATCATTATAAAATAGTTTTTTCCTGTAAGATAACCTTGCCTCCACAGATATGTTTAAAGCACGCTACGGTATTATAAAGTAGGCTGCATAAGTAACTAAGGTTTATTCCAGGTGGTAGCACTTTAAAATAATATACAGCTCCCACCTGTTGTCTGTCTATCTATCCATCTATCTGTCTGTCTATCTTCCTCCATCCATATGCCAACAGAACCCTGTTCTCAAAAGAGCTCGATTTTATCTAGCACAAATTGTGTAATAGAGGATTTGTCTCAGTTACACTGCTCTTTTTAAAAATTTGCCTCATTTCTCTACATTACTCCCATCAACTTGGTAACTTTCTGCTTCCTCTACCTGTATGAGCAGATGGGGGAATGGAGGGCAGGTCAAGCACCCAAACAGCACCATCCAAGTTTGGTTGGGCTCTACCACAGTAGCAGAAAGAGCAAGGCGATTCCTCACAGAAAGTTAAAACATCAGTGGAGAAAAAAAATTTAAGGTATGACCCATATAATAGCCTCTGTATTTTAAGATAAGCAACTGAAAACCTTAATTCCTTCACTCAAGTTATTTGAATATGTTTGCTCTTACAGAAGTAACTATTTTGCAAAGGACAGTTTGAGAAAAAGAAAATAAGTCTTTGGTGGTTATTTTCATTCAGAAATGTTAAGACAGCTTTTTCAAGTTTTATGGAAAATATGGAATATGTTTATAATAGACTCATTATATTTATTAGAAAAATATAAAAATTCATACTATAATGTTAGTATCTAGGCATAATTTGCAAGTGGAAACAAATAATTAGCTCCAAAAATTTGTCCTTTTAGCAGGCTACCAAGAGAGGCAAGGTGAGCTAGCCAACTCTTGGGCAGCAGGTATTTTTCATTGACTTGCATGGCTCCTAAGCATCTGTCTAATGCCTGTATTGCTCAAAATGTTAAAGTAGGATCCAGAATCTTTTATTTCTTTTTCTATTTTCGGAAACAGCTGTATTTGATATTTTTGAAAGACACGTCTTAGATCTTTATATATAAGTCTCTACTTCCCACCATGGTAAACTGAGATCATTCTCCTCCAGAACTTTAGCCTGTCCATTTTCATTTTAAAGCAAAGACCAGAGTCTGAACTGCAGAAAAAATACTATTTCTTCTTTTACATCAGGCAACTTTTGTTCCTAATGTGAACCCTCAGGTAATGAGTTCTCTATTCTGCTTTATACTCTGAAATGTCTGCGTAGAAGAGATGGTGACTCTTTATCCCCACGTACCTCGGAAGTGTTCCACTGGAACAAAAATCCTGCCTCAAAGCTGTGTTAATCTCACAGTAAGATGAGTGCAGAAGAAAATTCCTGTTCCTATGTCAGCCAGGCTTTTTCCTTTCCAAATGCAAAGGTAACTATTGAAACACTCAATAATTCTTATATTTGTGCTCTAAAACCTGACTACCTTTGATACAAACACTTAGGGTTTATCTGTTTTCTCAGAAATCTGTTAAGTATCCTAAATTCTAAACCTGTTATTGGCAATAGACAATAGTGCTGTCAGGGAAAAGAAGGAAGACAGAGCATACAGAAGAAAAGGAAACAGATTCAAAGAACAGAAGAAAATGGATGTAAAATATGAATCTACCCATAATATCAATCAACCTAAGTCTGTTGTCCAAAGCCTTCAACATCTTAATTTCAAGCTCATTTGAAAGACACCTCCTTTGGAGAAGTCTAATAAGTCTCCAGATGGTCACGTCCTGAGAAAATGTATCACTATTTTTGGCCATTTTTGGAATTGTGCATTTAATTCATATTTATGAGAAAGGTAAACTTGTAGTAATTTTAATCTATTGTGATTACTGATATGTTGATTTATTTTCACATATTTTTTTCTTATGATTTATTCTGTTTTTCCCTTTTTTACCCCTTTCTTCTTTTAAATTAATTGAGGGCTTGTTTTTGATTTGTTTAGTTTTCACACTTCATTTTTCCATCTATTAGTATGAAGGGTATACTCTCCTTGTTATTTTTTAAACTGGTTACCATGGGTAGTTTAACATGCCTATTTAATTAAAATTATTAAAATTAACCTCCATAGGAATAACAGATAATGTTAACTCCTTTCACTTTTTCTCTCATTCTTGTTAATTTTATACAATACCTTGGTTCTATATTATCTATTTTTTCAATCACAAATTAGAAATTATTATGATTGCTTTAGTGAGTCCATACATTCTTAGATTTACTCACCCATTTTCTATCACTTTTGCTTTCTATTCATTTATGTATCTCAGATTTGCTCTCTAGAGTAATTTCTCTTCTCTCTGAATTTTACCTTCTCAGGTTTCTTTTAGGAAAGAATGGTAGTAAATTTCAGAGTTATTCATCTTTATTTTACCCTTGCCCTTGAAAGACAGTTTCACACAGTTTAGAATTTAGTGATTTTTTTTTTTTGTCCACACTTCAAATGGTTCAGTTTGGCTTAGAATGTCCTCACCATTGACTGTCCATAATGCAGCTGTGATCTCAGCCTTGTTCATTTCAGAAGACCCATACAGAATGGCCTTTTAAAACATCTTCCTAAGATCTAGGGAAAATATTTGAAAGAAATTGCAAGATTATGCCCTTAGATAATTGCACTCAGTGAATCCCTTTTACTATAATTTTTGACTCCTACAAATACCAAATCCTGAGAGAAGTGATTTCATAATTTTATATAGTTTTTCTGTTAGAAATGCATCAACATAAAGATGTGTATTAGTTTCCTAGGGCAGTGGTAATAAATTACTACAAACAGGGTAGCTTCAAACAATAGAAATTTATTATCTCTCAGTTCTAGAGGCTATAAGTACAAAAGAAACCAAGGTGTGAGCAGGGCCTCAGTGCCTCCGAAGACTCTGGGAAAGCGTCCTTCCTTGCGTCTTCTGGTTTCCTGTGGCTCCACGTGTTCCTTCATTTGCGACTGCATGACTTCAATTTCTACTTCACATGACCTTCTTCTTCTGTCTCAGTATCTCTCCTTTTTTGTCTCTTATAAAGGCCTATGCTAATCCCAGATGATCTCATCTTAAATCCTTACCTTAATTATACCTACAAAGACTGTCATTCCAAATAAGGTCACATTCTGAGGTCCTGAGCAGATAGACCTATTGGTAGCCACACTTCAAGCCGCCACAAGATGCCTCAGCATTTGACGAAAGCTGTAGAAAAACCGAGCTTGAGATTACATACATTTTTATTCTAAAACTCTAAAATGTGGCAGTAGAAAAACCAGACTTTTAACTAGGAGTTAGGGTTTTCTAGTTTTTTAATAAATTTCTTAATTTTGTCATTGGAAAGTTGAAATAAGTGATACATTTTACCAGCTCATGGTGATTCAGCTGACAACACTTTTCTGTTCTCTCATCTATGTGGCTTCTGGAGTCAGCACTCAGGATGACATGAGCCCATTGTTACCTTTTGTGTGATAATTACATCTGTTAGGCATTGACAGATTTGCCTGATGGACAAGTCTCCATACTAGATCTATAACTTACAAGGATACTTGAAACCACTAAGAAATTGTACTTTCTAGAGAAGTTATATTAAATACAGTTCCAAAGATTTCATTTCCTATAGAGAACACTATGGGAGAGTAAGATGAAATAGAGTTTTGAAAGATGCTGGGGTCAAATTTTTTCCAGCTCTTGTGGTCTCCTTCTATTATAAGGAATTTTGGTGAATGCAGTCTAGAAAGTATGTGTTGTCAGCCTTCTCTCTTCTATCATTTCTCAGCAGAGTGGAGTCATCCTTAAACTGTCATCTCTCCTTTATAGAGTTGAAACAATTATGTAAGAACATAGAGGTTTCATGCGGTTTTTGTCACAGTCAGCATGCCACTGGACATGTCCAGAGTTAAAAACCATTAAAATGAATTTAATGCTTGTGAAAGTTGCTGATGTAGGAAAGGCTATGTCTTATTTTGTTGGTTTTTTAAATTCAATTGTCTGTATAGAGAGCATCAGATTCTCTCTCTCTCTCTCTCCTTTTTTTTTTTTTGACAATTTATTTTACTTATAAAGGGGCTAATTCCTTGAGCTCCAAGAATATCATCCATTTTTTATGCCAACAAAACCACTTATAAAATTCTTATAAAGAAGTCGGAAGTATTTTAACTAATTCATTTGTATGACATGAACAGTAAGTCTAGACTATCTTATGGACAGAATGTGTTAGGTTCAGAGAGTTGATTCAAAGGCTAGATGGCTACATTTTAGGCAAATAACTGAGTGGATTTTCCTCCTAGGTGTCAGTTCTCTTCTGAAGACATTCTGGCAATTGGTAGCCCCTCAAGGGACTTTCAAGTGTCTAGGTTGTTTAAATGTATGTGCCCATTTACAAAAGTGATTTAGGCCTTCCTTTAATCGTTTCAGATCTTACAAATGTTGTATTTGACCGAGTGTAGAAAGTTATCACAAGACAAAAGTATGCCAGATTGCAGGGTCATTTATTATGCTGGCGACCACAGAGGACTCACGTCTCTCCAACCTGTGGCCGCAACAGGAGGGTGCCACGATTTTTTATACCCAAAAAACCACCTTGGGAGTGGGGGTGAGGGGCAGGGATGGGGATGAAAAGGCTTCAGACATTCCGAGGGCTAGTGGATTCTGTAAATTACCTCCTGGGCAGAGATGAGGGTGGGGGTCTCCGGACATTCCAAGGGATGGGGACTTTTGTCATTCCGTTTGTTACTTAAGTGGTTTACAGAAGTCAAGATAAACATTTGTTTACACATTATCTGGTTAAGGTGGAAATCACAGACCTTAGTTACTTATTACAAGCCACAGGAGCCAGGATGGAACTAGCTTGGGCTGCTTAGTCTGGCAATTGCCGGTAAGCAAAGGCTAGCAATTCTGGCAGTTACTGATAAGAAAAGGTAAACAGCTTTACATAGTTTTGAAGAACAAACTAACAGTTCTATTTACAGAGGCCAAGGACAGTAGTTATTGTAAGGAGAATGGGGCAGCCATTTCAACTTATCTAAAAACAGTTTTGCATTTTATAAAATAGTTTTGCTCTGGTTCTGGCTCTAGGCCAGCACAATATCACACAAATAGCTATACTAAAAAGTTGCCGTTGAGGCCAGTTTGGGGGAAAATATACAGAATAGAATACAGAACAGATACATGCTAGAATTTTATATCCAGAAAATATCCTAAAGATGATCTAGCTCTTGTTCAGACACCCTGCATGGCCACCCAAGGGCCGTGTTCACCATTCTGCTCATTGCATATAATATGACGCTGGCCTTGAACCAGACTTTTATGCACTGAAGCGAAGACAAATTTCCAAGATGCCATCCCACTGAAATGGTCCCTTTCAAATGCTACCTTGGGAGACATTAACAGTATTTTGTAATACCAATAGTAATCAGAAAACCTTTAAATCTTAAAACTAGCCACTGTTGGTTATCTCATCTGCTCAAGAATAGCAGAAACACAACTGAGATAATTTTTGAGACTCCTCTGAGCCCATCTGATATCCCTGGCAAGCCTATGGAAGTGAGCTATTTTCAGCCTGTGTTTTAAACCCTTCTGCCAGAGTGCCAGCCCTGGCCCAAGAGTTAGGATCCAGAAATATAAAACTCTAAGAATGTTTCTCTCTTCAAATCAAGGGGGATATTAAACTCTGTAGGGCAGATTTAAAGCATTCAGCAGAAGGGCTTTTACATACAAATACTAAACCATAAGAGTCTTGCATAGAGTAATCCGTTGGGGTTTTAAAAGTAAAGGAAAAATCTGAACTTTGAATGCTGAGTTAGACTTCACCTACCAGGGGAATTAATCTGGAAGCTCTCTGATTTTTTCAGTTAAAAGCTATCTTGTCTGTTTTTACAGAAAAGAACACTGAACCATTCAGTACACTACAGGGGATGCTACAGGGAACTCAAGCAAATATAAAATATGGCACCTGTCTCTGAAACCCTTACATGACTATTTACAGACGAGAAAACTGAAAACAATAAACAATGCAGGAAGTAGTCAAAACATATATATATATATATATATATATATATGTCTCAGGCCATCTTTCTTGAGACCCTGGAAGAGGGATACATTGAGATCAGAGTGTGGACTGGCATCAGAATGGCAAGATTGGTAAAAAGAAATAGACATAGCAGTTATAAATTGAAGATGGGAGGAGAGGAGACCAGGCTCAAGTTGCTGAAGCAGTGGGCTTGAAGATAACATATTCACCTTCTCTTGATTGTTCCTATTCTTCAGGGGACTGTGTCAAAGGCTGTGAGCTCCAGCAGCCTCCCCAGAGGTAAGCGTATATTGTAATACAAATGGGAGTCACTGCTGGTTATCTCATCCTCCCAAGAATTGCAGAAATGCCATTGAAAGAGTTCTTGAGAGTCATCTTTAAAAGTCAGGTGAAAAATCTGAACCTGGAATGCGGAGTTAGACTTCATGTACGAGGGGTGAATGGTGGTCTGTGGTCCTCAGGTGGACCACAGGTTCTGTCTTCCGGAAACCCCATACCTGCTCTGGTAACAAACAAACCTTTATGTAGAACTCTTTTCCCATGACTTAGAAAGTTTTGACTCTTTTCTCTCTCTTGCACCAGATTTGGGAAAAGCTGGGAAGAGCTCACAAAAGTTTGCCTGGTGTACATAACAAGCCAGTGGATTAGCACTGACCCAAGCAGAGCCAATCAAAATGTTCCAAGGTCATTGCTGGATCTATCAGGAGGAATGTTATTTTGATTTCTTTGGGCTTGTTAGCCAGAAGAATGATGAGGGCAGGAACTTCTCGTTTCCATCTTGGCCACCACTTGAGGGCAGCCTTTCAGGGAGCAAGACTGTTTCAACTTCTGGGTCCCACGGAGCTCTTGGACTGCCAGCTACATGTCATGAAATTCGCTTTACTTTCTGTCAGCGAATATGTCATCTGAAACTAAAGGAACCCTAACACAGAAAACCAAAACAGCTTTATTCACAATGACTACATAACCCTGATATTCACGTTACCTTCTATGTTTCATGCAACTTCCTCTTCTTTAACTAGTTTGTTACTAGTTTTGAGGAAGGATTTCTGCTTTGCTCCTATTGTCTGGCTATGATGCGACCATAGACCCTGTCCTGTATTTTACATCTAAATCTGTATGACAAGGGTCTTAAGTTTTCTTAATAAAAGGTTGTGGACTAAAACTTTATGATGTGGATTAATTAACAATAACATGGAGAAATCAGTCTGATCATTCCCACTCTTAAAAGTGGTCATTCATATATATCCTGATTACATACCATTCACATAACATTTATACTTCTTAGCTCCCTTATGCAAGAATTTAATAAGTGTCTCATTAATAACATTAACAAGTGTCTCATTAATAACATAAACAAAAAGGAAAATCAAGGGAATACCCAAACACCATTTTATAGACATGCAATGAGTTGCAAGAACACTATACAAGCAGACCGGTAGAATGCAAGTACATTTTTTATTTTGGGAGTGGTCAAGTGTTTCTCATTTTAGAACCATTAAATATGAAATAATAACACAGACCAGACTGTTAGAAATGTGATATCGTGTAGAGCAAAGCCACACAGTTGTCAAAAATAACCTCTTGAAAGAACCAGATGTCACAAAATGAAATAGCCAAAGCCAGTTGATAAAGCCCAGTTGATTCTCTAAATGCAGTGATTTCTTGGGGCTTATTCCACTGTTGGTTTGCAGCAAATCATTTGTCAATCATAATGCCATTTACCACAATTATTCCTAGTCCCTACCTAGTCCCAAATCAGGACCACTGATGGACAGAATTTATAGCTCACTTCATTTTGTAAAATATTTATATTGAGACCATGTGAGACCTTCAGGGCTTTAAGGGAAAAGTTGCATAATAGTATTTTTTAGATGTTTCTTTTTGTCTTTGCTAAACTCAAGTCTGCAAACACAAATGGTCACTTTGCACAAGGCATTGCATTGGCTGCATCAAACAAACCTGAACAAAAATAGCCTCTGCTCACAGGAAGTCTGTGATTTGATTGAGAGGAGACATACAGTATAATGCAAACTGTTATCCACACACATATATTTCACATACTGTTTAAGGAACACCCTGGACTGACATTTCAATACTGTGAGAGTTTCTATATAAATCTGGGTTTGCAACTTCTGTTGACTCCAATTGTAAGGAACCCTCAGTGTCAGTGGATAAATTGATGCAAGACTTTTTTCTCCTTAGCTCAGCTAGGTCTGGGTTCTTGTCTCATGACCAGGAAGAAATAGGCAGGTGGACATCAAAGAGTGACCGGAGTAGAATTTACTAAGCAGAAAGGAAAGCTTTCAGCAAAGAGAGGGGTTCTGAAAGCAGGTTCCCAGTTGCCCCCTTGATAGTTGAATACCAGGGATTTTTTATGTTTAAATTGATGGGACTGGGTTCCCTGTTGTATAAGGTGCGAATTTCTGGTGGCTCCACCCCATCCTCTCAGTGTGTATGTGGGCCCTTAGTCCACTGTGGTCATTGTTTGGGAAGCCTCCTTTGCAAGTTCCCTTATATGCAAGCACCTGTGGGGCGAATCAGAGGCTCTCCAGGGACCCTTCCCTTACAGTCTGCCTGAAGCAAGCTGGCTAACTCCTTTCAAAATATTCCAGGCGCAGGGACTCTCACTGGCAGTCTTGTAGTCTCCAGAGTGCAAACTCCAGGCTTTGCTGTTTTTCTGTGACAAGATTGTAGAGCTTATGACAATCATTTAAGAGGTTCCAATGAGTTTCTCCAATTCAAGATCATGGGACAAAAGCATATTGAATCTCTTACTGATGTTTTGATTTATTTCAACTTGTTTCACAGAGTTGTTAAGAGAGTAAGTTTATGTTATGTGGGTGTGGGGTTTTTTTTAAACCACAATAAGAAAAATATATGTGGTTATATATATCACCTTGGGCAAATTACGTAAACATTTTTTATTTGAACAAGTAAAAATTGTATATATTTATGGTGTACAACATGATCTTTTGATATATGTATAAGCTGTGGAATGGCTTAATTAAGCCATTTAACATATGTATAAATCATAAATATAAAATGTGGGGGAGTGTGGAGTAAATAGCACAGATTTATTTCGTGAGATAAAAGTTAAGGTATAATCAGCTTAAAGTAGATTACTACAACTGTAAGCTATTTTATGTAAGCCTAATGGTAACCATGATGAAGAAAGCTATAGTAGATATAAGTATTAGTTTTAAAGTCCTCGTGTGATCGTAATTGGCAGCCCTAGCACAGAAATAAATGGCTAGGATTAAAACAACAGATTATTTTTGGCAAGTGACATTATTGCACAAAATTAGAGAGTAGGAATATGTATAAGCGCATAGTTGCAATCTTATTTCTAAGTTCAATAAAATAATGAAATTAATTGCAGATGCGAAACTGTCATGACCTCTTTAGTTCTCAATCATTTTGACAACTTCCCATCACACAGGAAGTCATACTACTTAACTCATTTTGACAGGAAACTGACTAACTCTTTTTTCCAAACTAACTACTTTGACTTAGAACGCCAATTTTTCAAGACATCGGAACATCAGTCTTTTCTTTCTTTTGCATCTTAAGTACTTATCTCTTATGGAACATTGCAGAAAGCATTTACAAATGACCAACTATTTTAAAGTAAAGTTTCAAGCTTAATTTTCTTTCAAATTAAGGAAATTAATGAACCAATGAAAAAGTCCCTTTTATTAGATATTCTTTTTATGCCTACTAACCAGCCCTGGGAAAATGGTCTATGGGTTGAAAAATGCAATATATGCAATACTAATCTGGCAACGCACATTCCTGTGATCTTTTGAAACTCAAGTAATGATAGTCCAAAAGTCCTGCCAAGCATAAATTGCCATTGTAAATGAAGAACACGTCTATTCACATTCAAATGACTCATTACTAAGGCTCTGTTCTGGTATGATTTACCTGCCTATATTTACACTGACTGGGAAAGAACAATGGCATTTTGCTCTTAAAATAAATGAGCTTCTCAGAGCTGACCAGCTGACCATCTTCCTCTTGCTTTTGACTTTGCCTCATAGTATCTGGATTTCCTTTAAAATTTTCTAGGTGGCTTAAGGATTCAATTCGAATGGTGACCATAAATTGAAATGTAGTGGAGAAAGTAGTCCATATTTTAAGGGCCTTCTGTGCCATACTGTTGATTGATGAGGTTTATTGACATTAAAATAAAAAACAAAAAGTTTTGGTAGCAATATACAGAAAACAACAATGCAAATAACTGGCTTTTAACCTTTTGTTTTATATTTCCTTGTCCTTTCTTGCTTGCTTGTTTGCTTGCATTTTTGCTTTCCTTTTTTCCTGCCTTTCTTTTTTTGCGGTGGCGGGGCTGGTATTGGCAGGAAATAAACGCTATCCTTTAGGAGCAGTAAGTTCCACCTCTGGCATGGAGAGTAACGACATATGCTATTTGAAATTCTTCTGTAACAAAATTTTGCCCCTGGTTACCCATTTACTTGTATTAGTATAAACACGTGTTTTTTTTTTTAAACGTACTTTTGTATATAAACCCACTTTACATTGTTTATTTTGTTGCTTACATTGTTTCCGCTTTGTCCATTGGGAGCTCTTTCAGATCGGCTCCTGTGTTCTTATGACGCAGTCCTGTCTTTTTGTTTGATTGGTTTTCAGCCTTTATTTTATGGGATACCAAAATGCTCTAGGATCATTTTATACTTTCCCTGCCTCACCATCAGCCATTTCTTGAAGGTGCTTTGGTTCCTTTTTCTTAGAGAGTGCTATTTAGAAACCAAGAACTGGTGGCCGAGAGTATTCACTATACAGGGCATCGCTACCTCTAGGGTCTGTCAGTGGACAGAGCTAGGAAATAGATGCGTGCTTTCTAACCTATGCATACACTTATATCCATAATCATTTCTGCATGTATCATATATACGTATAAAAGTAAACCTGAGTTCATGTTGATGTCTCTGAATGTGATCTTAGGCTGCACTGTTTATTATAGCCGTCTCCTCCTTGCTTTACTATAGTTTCTCTGACAGTTAAAAAAAAAAAAAAGTTGAATCTCACTACTAGTTTTTTTTTAACCGATAGAAACTTAATGGGTCTTTGTAATAGTTTGAAAGAATAAAACTTATGTTTATGCAAACTCTGCCAGTCACCCTGGAGACTGACCTGTGATAGAGATCATAACCATCAGGTCATCTTTTCTCAGGACTTAATGTGTCTTGTTACTTTAAAGGTAGCATATAGGGCATAGCGTCCACTTCCTTTACCAAACACATTGCAATAGTACTACTATTTGGTGCTCAGAAATGGGGGTAAAATATGCTTATGCTTGATAGCTGGTTCACTGTTTAATGCCTGTGACATTGAGAAAGTTATTTAACTTCCCCAACGTGCAATGTCTTCACCTGTGAAATGGGTTTAGTATCAAATTCCTGTTAGAAGTTCTGGTAGAATTATCTTTAAACTTATCTAAAATATACAGCACAAAGCTTGGAAGATATTTAACATATATTTGACTCTACTTATAATTTTTGGAATTTTAATGCATAATAAAGTAATATCTTTCTTATTATACCTACTAGTTTTAATTAAAGTAAAGATTGAAATAACCAAAAATATTTTTAATTTAGAAATCTTTACTAATCATGTCTCAATTTCTCGCATGTTTCTTATATTTCTATACAGTAATAATCAATAGTAGTCATATTTATATCCCAAAGTCTTACAAGATGTGGTTACTTTGTTAATCATCAGAAAAAAAATTGTCATAGTTTATCATACACCTATTGAAAGTTACCTCTTGCACAGTATTTCCAAATGGTGGTGTTTTTTTAAAATTATATTCAAAGACTCATAGGCAGTATACAAGAATGGTTCAAAGAATTGCTGTATATCTTTTACAGAATCTTCAAACATTAATATTTTACTCCATTAAAAAATTTTTTCTCAGCTATTTTAGAGGCAGGCATAATGTTTCTTTGTAAGTACTCCAGTGAATATTTCCTAATACTGGACAATCTAGCATATTTTGTCCTGTTCATTTTTTTTTTTTTTTGGACAGGAATAACATTAAGTTCAGAGTCAGAAAAACTGCCTACTTGGATAATTACAATGGCCGTGACTATCATTTTGGGAAAACTACATTACCTCTCATAGGTAAAGTAAAATAGATAAAGATGAGTATTAAGTCTTCTTTCAGGGCTAAGACAGTAATAATACTGATCAGGTGATCATGATAGTGATAGTAATAAAAAAACAATGTTATAAGATAGTAGTAGTTGGTCAGTAAGATCATGAAAAGATCCATACAAATTATTACTGGGACAAAATAGTACTAGTTAATATCTATAGCTAATAGTGAATCAATGATCTTTTTGTACAGAAGAGCTTATTGTTTTTGATAATGCTGAAATAATGATAATGTTTGCTTTATATACAAACTAAATATCAAGTGTTTCTTTAAATGAGTCTTCCACACTTCAATTAGAATTTTTCCTGAGCCATCATATTTTAAAATCCTGCTTCAATTTCTCCTTTCCATTTTAGAGTTTTAACATTTTTGCCCAATATAATAAAAATCTTATGTAACTGTTGCTGATCCAGTGGCACTTTTTCTTTTTCAAAGTAGGATGCTAAAATATGAATTTGGATTGTGCTAAAAACTCAAGACTCTCTTATTTTCTAGAAGGCATTAGCATTCTTAAACAGGGTATGTATTAATCATGGCTTATTCTTTTTTCTTATGTCAAAGAGAGAGCAGTGTCTCATTTATAAAACAGGAGCTAAACGCACATACCAGACCTGACACTTGAGGAAGCTCAGCCTGTCCATTGGTTGAGAACAGTTAGCGGTGGGTAGTTTGGCATTTTTGACCCTGCCACCACCTCAGTTAGCATTTGGGGACAAAGGTGCTGCTCTTCATTTTATAAGAAATTTGCCAGATTTTAAAGGATGGAAAATTTTCTCTGTTCTTACACAGTGAGTCCAGGTAGAAAAATGTCACTTCTTAATTATAACTTACATTTTACAGGTATTGATCGACTTATGACCTATGCCACTTACAACCATTTGACTTTACGACCACAATCGCCAGCCACGATTGCTCTGTGTCTGGCAGCGCAAACATTGCCCAGCTGGGCATACGACAGTGAGGACCAGCTTCCGGCAGCACTACCATCTCCGCATGCACCATTTCAACTGTTATCCCAGACTCGGTACAGCAATTTGTGTTTTGTGTCTTGGATATTTTTCACCAAACCCCTCCCAATAAACTTCTTATACATTTCGAAGCAATGGACCCAAACATCGAATAATTTGCAAGGATTGAACGGATGGTGCACGATGTGTTGTGTCCGTATTGTGAAATTTATGAAGAAGAAAAGAAACATACAATTCAGACAAAGCTCACCATGTTTATGAAAAAACCAACTCGGGTAACCCCAACTGCTGCCTCAGATGACGACATCAACGATCCGCAGCCAAGCACCAGTGGTCAATAAAATGTTTCGTACATGTTTATATATTTTGATATGTTTTGCAATTGGGAAAATGTTTCCTATGGTATTTTTTACACCTGTATTTTGTATTTTTGTATGCACCTGTATTTTGTAATTTTGTATGTTTTGCGAGTATCAAACCAGTTGTACTGGTAATGCAGTGTTTTACTTAAACCTGACGAATGTAAAAATAAGAAACAAAATGGTGTAGAGATGATACAAATGGCATAAAATGAACAAAGAAAATTATGATATATAACAATAATGAAAGAAAATTATGATAAAATATGACTTAAAGATTTTTATAACATCATTTCACAGTACTGTACATATAGCCTACTCAGCTTACGACCAAATCATGTTACGACCGGTCTGTCAGAACCAATCGTGGTCGTAGTAGAGCACTAGCTGTATAGAGTTTCTTTGCTTCTTAATGCCAGACTCTCATCTTTTTGGATTACAAGCCACTTTTGATTCAGTATTTAATTCTAGGCCTTGGGGTTGTCATTGTAAGTCTCTCCGTTTTACTGAGGTGCTGAAATATTGTAGCATTTTTTATGGGACCTATAAAAATTGAAAATCTCTAAGCAGTGGTGGAGAAGGGACTTTAAAATATGCTTTAAGGAGAGATTTGTATTTCACGGAATTGTTCAGATTTCTAGGCTTCTGAAAGGTGTCATCAATATCATTAAGCAGTTAGTTAAGATTGAGACAGTCAATTCCAGAAACTTCTCAGAAGAAAAAAAAGATAAAAATAAGATTGGGACAGATCGTACATATATAATTAATCACATTAGAATTGCTAGAGGACTTTTGGGGAGATATACAAATATATATGATGTTCGTTTGCCTAAGGATATGATTTAGTCTTCATACATCGTTCTATTTATTTGAAAGGGGCCATGCTTGTCTATGGGGGCAGTGTTGTATAACAGAAAAAGCATGAAATTTGGGAAAAAGCGAATGAGGAAGCAGAATCCAGTTCATACTCTGGCTCCAAATTTCGAGGCTGAAGTAGTTTTATCACTACAAACGGTGGAATAGTAATACTAACTTGTGAAAATTAGCTTTAACAAATGCCAAAAATATAGTATATGATAGTGTGTCACTCTGGGTTCTCCAAGAAGTAGATGCCATGATGGGATTAGATATGGAAAAAATCAGGAGAAACGTCTGTGAAGGATAAAAGGAGAGGACTCAGTTGGGAACAGGCAGGAAAAGTCTTCAGATGATGATGCTTGTCAGGCAACTGTGAAGAAAAGAGGGAGAGCAGATTGGGAAGGAAGAATGTGTGACCATCGTGGAGTCCTGAGGAATTTTCACAGGCAAATGCGGAGTTTGCAAGCAAAGGCTGCCTGTTGAAAGGATCCCATATTGGGTAGATATGGGCAACACCAGTGCCACCACCATGGTCATTGCCTGGTAGTAACCCAGAGGAGTCGTGACATCAGCAAAAATGCAGCATACACCCAAGTGGCAATGGCTGAAGCTGGTCAGTGATGCTTCCCACAGCAGGCTGTCTTGACAGAGATTCGAGCAGCGAACTTCTCTCGCCATCAATGGTCAGGTCTCTGGCCATCAGTGGTCTCATATTGTAAGGTAGTATTGATCAGAAAGAAAATGTTGGATTTTTCAAAGGAAATTTTGATAGAGTTAATTAGGAATTTCATAATGTATTAAGTCAGCATATTAAAGAAGGGTATACTGGTCAACAAAGCAATATAGAGAAACAGATTAGGAGGAATATACTGCAGAATGTAGTTTAATAAGATGGACTTGGGGCTTACCTGTGAACTAAGCATGAATTTTCTCTTCATAATAATGGTTTTTATTATGAGAAAGATGGCTTGCAAATAATGCTATTGTAGCTAGAATGGAGAAAAATGTGTGACTAAACTGCTTCATTGAAGAGGAGGTGGCACCAGAGTTCACAAAATACACTTCAAATAATCTAAGTTGACCTACAAATATTATACCCCATTAATTATAGTGTAAGGACCTTATAAAAGTACAGACAGTCTCCAGTTGACAAGGGTTTGACTTATAATTTTTCAACTTTACAATGTTGCAAAGCAAAATGAATTTATTAAGTTCCTTGACTTAAGTTGATGGAGTTACTTTTGTCCAGATATAACTTATGATGAGGTTACATCTTAATAGAAGTGTCCTCATTGCAAGTCCAGCAGCATCTGCATATTTCTAATTCCTGCCTAATGCCAATTTTGTCATATATATCACTTTTACTTATGCTATAATCACACAATACATTATTAATATTATACATTTAAAATATTATTTTTCTTTGAGAGCAATTAAACATGATAAAATATTTTATTTTCCTTCATTTGCTCCATTTCAAATACCTTCATTTGTTTGTGTAGGTCTGAATTTCTGACAACTTGTATCATCTTTCTGCTTGAAGGACTTCCTTAACATTTCTTGGAGAGGTGTGCTGACAATGAATCCCCTCAGTTTTTTTTCTGCCTAAGAAAGTTTTTACTTCTTTTCATTTTGGGAAAATATTATTACTAGATATGGAAATCTTGGTTGACAGATCTGTTTTTTCAAACGTCATTCCATTGTCTTCCAGCTTGCATGTTTTCTGATGAGAAGTACGTCATAATTCTTATCCTGGTTTCTCTGTAGGAAAAGTGTTGTTTTCTCCTAGCTGTCTTCAGGAGTCTCTCTTTACCTTTGGTTCAGGGATTTGAATATGGTATGCTTAGCTGCGTGTGTGTGTATTGTATTGTTGTTGTTGTTTATCATGTTGGTCATGTCTGAGCTTCTGAATTCTGTGGTTTGTTTTCTGTCAGCAATAATAGAAAATTCTAAAATTCTCAGCCACTGTTTCTTTGAATATTTCTTCCAACCTGTTTTCCCTGTCATTTCCTGCTGGTGTTCAAATTATACGTAAGTTAGAATGTTTGATACTGTGCTACAGCACTTGAATGATGTGTTACATTCTTATCAATATACTTTTTTCTTTTGCATTTTAGTTTGGGTGACTTATGTTGACCTACTTTCAAGTGTACTTATTTCCTCAGCTGTGTCAAGTCTGCTAATAAGACTTGTACAGTTTCTGTTACTTCTAATATTTTCTTTTAACTGTTTTTGTAGTATCTTTCTCTGCTGCAAATTGCCTTCTGGTATTACATGTTATCTACGTTTTCTGTTAGAGTCTTTAACATATTAATTATTATTTTTTTGTATTTCCTGTCTGATAGTTCTAACATCTGCATCATAACTGATTTTTGTTATAATGATTACTTTGACTCTTCAATACTTTTTTTTTTTTTTGCTTTCTGGTATACCTTCCTCTTTTGTATTGAAAGGTAGATGTGTTGTATGTGACAAGAGATATTGAGGCAAGTATTTATTATATGCCTTCTGCTATACATTTAGTAAGGCATTTGTTTTAATTTTGTCAGGATTTGTGCTGACTTTGAAGTCTGCTGTTGCTCTAGTTATCAGAGTAGGAATTAGTTGTTGTTATGGGCATGGGAGACTTGCAATTTCTCTAGAGATATTTTGGAATTTTTCTCTCTGGTTGTCTTTGCATCTTTAATTTGTCTTTCTCCCTGGAGAGAGTTTTCCTTTCACAGTTCTCTAGGTGTTTTCCCTGTGATTGCTTACTTGAAGCTAGTTAGCATGGTTATGAGGTGAGGCAGAAGGAATGAGTGGGTTCATTATAATATTCTAATTAGCTTTGAGGCTTAGGGAAGCCCTTCAGTGTGTGACCTGCTCAAGATTTTCTGTGGCTCCAATAGGTGTAGTACTCTTATCCCACCCTTTTGTCCTCAGCCAGCTGCCACGTCCTCAAGCAATGCTTCTATCACTCCTCTTCTGCAGATCAACCTTTTCATCCTTACCAGAAAGAGGAGCGAATGAATCTCAGTGGCACCCCTTCCTCTGGCTTCTCCTGATTTATCAGGGTAAGTGTCCCAGAGGAAAGGCCTACAGGAGCAGTAGACCACTATGTCAGTGCCCCTCTCAGCTTCATACTCTGATGTTAGTTCATGTTCAGCCTTTAGCAATTGGTTAAAAGTTACTAGTTTAAATTTCCTTCCAGATTATATCTCATCCAGTGATGTCTGCCCCTAAGCAAATGCTTAGGTTTTATTTCTTTGTGCAAGCTTATGTGTCTCTTTGGAATTCAGGAGAATTGAATGTTCTGTGTTTTCAATTCCCTGGTAGAGTCAATAAAAGTCATTAATTTTCAGTTTGTCTTGCCTTTTTCCCTGTTGTAGAATGTGACATTCTTTTTAGATCTCAACATTTCTAAGACATCTTTTAGTTATTGAGGATATGGTGGGGTTTATTTTTAAAAGTTTTATTGTCCTTTTGATTACATAGGCAAATAGGGCTGCCTCTAAGGCATCCATAGTTCTGTCTTAATCAAAAGCCCAAATTTTTTTTGACAAACTTTTTGATTTTTTATTCCCAAATGGAATCCTAAACACTGAAAAATTATAATATAATTTTCAGGGTATATTTTAAAGCTAAAAGTAGCTTTAAGTTTTCCTGAAGGGTTTTTAATCACCAAGACTTGCAAATTCATCTTATAAAAGAAGTGCTGGAAATAATTAGATTCATTTTATTCGTTATTATGGTTCTATGGGAAGACTTGTCAAATCAGAAGAGATATTCAGCCTTATAGGAGAAAAATGTTATTACTATAAATATTTCATAAATGGTATGTTTTATAGCAAGTTCCTGAATATTTATCAGTATTCTCACTGTCTGTTATACATTTCTACATATTAAGAGTCATGTTGGACCTTTGCCTGGTATTAGGAGACAACAGTAGTATGTTTTCAGTCATAAATTTAGTTGTTATTTAAAATTCTTACTTGGCCACAGCCTTACTTATTTAATCTGAATCTAGCATCTAGGCCATATATTCTTAATTGCTGATGCACATCAAACTTATCCATGGAGTTTTATGAAAATATAGGTGGTAGATGCTACTGTAGACTTGCTAAATCTCTTAACATGATATTCTTGGAATATTTTGTATATGAAATGTCAGGAGTATTATAACCTATATATTTAAAATTTTCCTCAATAAAAAGTATGTTTATCTGTATTTATAAATCAGATGTAAAACTCACTACCTTTTTTGAAAACAGTCTTAACAATTACACCTCGAGATTGTGATAGTTAATATTAGGTATCAACTTGATTGCATAGAAGAATGCTGATATGGTTTGGCTGTGTCCCTACCCAAATCTCATCTTGAACTGTAGGTCCCATAATCTCCGCATGTCATGGGAGGGACCCAGTGGGAGGTAATTGCATCATGTGGGCGGTTACGCTCATTTTGTTCTTGTGATAGTGGGTGAGTTCTCACAAGATCTGATGGTTTTATAAGGGGCTTTTTACCATTTCACTCAACACTTCTCCCTGTGACCACCATGTAAACACAGATGTGTTTGCTTCCCCTTCTGCCATGATTATAAGTTTTCTGAGGCCTCCCAGGCCATGCTGAACTGTGAGTCAATCAAACCTCTTTCCTTTATGAATTACCCAGTCTTGGATATGTCTATTATCAGTGTGAGAACAGACTAATACAGATGCCTAGATGGCTGGTGAACCATTGTTTCTGGGTGTGTTTGTGAGGGTGTTGCCAGAAGAGATTGACATTTGAGTAGGTGGACTGGGAGAGGAACACCCACCCTCAATGTGGTGAGCACCATTTAATCGGCTGCCAGCATGGCTAGAACAAAGCAGGCCAAAGAATGTGGGATACGTTTGCTTGCTGAGTCTTCTGGCTCTCTTTCTTCTTCTCATGCCCAACACTTTCTTCCACTGCCTTGCCCTTGGACATCACATTCCAGGTTCTTTGGCCTTTATATCTGAGACTTGCACCAGAAGCTTCCCAGGGGCTCTTGGGCCTCTGGCAGTAGACTGGGGGCTGCTTGCTGGTTTTCAGGCTTTCAGACTTTACCAAGCCATGGTACTGGCTTCTCTTTCCCCAGTTTGCAGATAACCTATCCTGGAATGACTTTGTAATCATGTGAGCTTATTCTTCCTAATAAGCTCCCTTTCCAATATACACATATCCTATTGGTTTAGTCCCTCTGGAGAACCCTGACTAATGCAGAGACATTTTTGCCTTATTTTTTGAAATGACTTAATTATTTATGTCTGTCACATTGTTAGAAAACCGTTTCTTTTCAGAAACCAAAATATGACTCCCTGTAATCCCCGCTATTAGTTACTCCTACCATGTGACAGATCTTGTACCTATTTGAAA